TTGCTCCAGTATTCTGACCCCACATTCTGCCCTCTCTAGACCTTCACTGGTACAGTGGAGGGTAGGAAGGAAGGCTCTGATCCAACAAGCTGGGGCCCCAATCTCAGCCGAGTCATGGACATTCCTTGTGACCTTGACTTTCCTTTGTGTTTAAGTCTCAGTCTTTTCATACACACCAGAGTAGAACCATAATGCAGACTTTGCTTCTATATCTGCAGCGCTTAGAGCCAGCTGTATTTTGAAATTCAGATTTCGGGAGGGATTTTCTTTTTCAGAAAGATATTTCAGGGGAAACAGTGATTATGTAACTCCCTCAGCAGGGTCTGGGACGACACCCTGAAATCAAACACATAAATATTCCCGCAGCAAAATGTATGAATATTCACACTGAGTGGGATAAATAAGATCTATAAATAACCTCACATCATTTCAGGTCAAGCTTTGTTCCCAATCGAGTTTTGGTGCCAAACTTCCCCTCCTCAAAAAGTGACTTAGTTGATTTTCAGAGCATTTTTGGAATTTAGAAGTACCAAAAAAAAAAAAAAAAAAAAAAAGCTGGTGGGCCAATATTAACTAACGTTCATAAGATTATTGTTAAAATAAGTGACATACTATATCTAAATGTTTAGTACAGAGCTGGAAACAACAAATATTCAACAATTGTTACATAATATTCGTTCCCACTGTCTTTATAGTACTATTACAGTTTTGTGCTTTGTGTGTGTGTGCTGACCATCTACTAGGCAATGAAAACAAGTCGGCAGCCATATCTTCATCATTTTGATTTTTTTTGTGTGCCTAGTACAGTGTGTGATATAGAACATTGTGCTAACAAGTACTGCCACTGAGTCAATCCCAATTGTAAAGTGTTTCTGAGGCTGGGTATCTTTACTGAAGTCGACACTCATCTTTCTCCCAAGGAGTGCATGGAGGGGTTGAACAGATGACCTTCAGGTTAGCAGTCGAGTGCTTGTCCTGAGCACCACGAGGATTCCTTAGAATACACTGCAGTGAGCAAATCATTTAAATGAGTTAGTGTGTGCTGAGGTGGGTAACCTGCAGTCCATACCATCCTCCTTCCAGGATAATAGTCTCTGACTCATTATCATCTGTCAAACCTGGAGAAATGGGAGTTACGTCTCCCAGGAGAATGAATCATCTAGCTCCGTGTGGCCAGTAGGGTATATATATGACACAGTTGGTCCAAGCTTGCACCCCAGAGTCAAGGGCTCATCAGACTGAAAAACTAACAAAGCAGGCGATTTATTTAGAAAGCCACCATACTGATTGTATCATTGGGCATCGTGCAACCACAATCCACACTATGGGAATGTAGCTTCTGAACACAAAGCCAACCTTGACAAATAACTTGTCCTCATCTGTCCCCAGACAAATAATCCATTCATCAATCAAATGTCTAAACTCAACCAAGTCATCCAAACGTCATTGGAACTCTATAGGAATAATTAAACGCAGAAATATGCATTGGTCTTCCTTATCCAAACATAACAATGTTGGGGTATACTCCAAGAGAAAAATAACAATCTTTACACAACTTGCTTAGCGGCATAACTCTTTTCCTCTTCTCTTCTGCATCTTTCTACCCATGGAGTCATCCAATCTTGTTCAGCTCAATAGTTCATGCTCATTGCGAAATTTTCTACACTGCTAGAGAAAGAACTATCCATTTGGCTATATGTTCATCAGGTTTAGACACCAAATAAATATCCTTAGGTGTTGTCAACAGTTAAGCACACGACTGCTACTGAGAAGTTGGCAGTTCAAACCCATCCAGAGATTCCTTAAAAGAGGGGCAAAGTGCTTTGTTCCTGAAAGGTCACTGTCTTATGACCATAGTGAAATGACTTTGGAGTGATTCTACTCTGCAAACAAGGGGTCGCCATGAATCTAATGATTCAGAAAGCTACTCACAATGATAACAAGATATCAAATAATGGTTCAGAGAATCTGATGTTGTAAATATAATTACTTTCCAAGGGAGTGAAGTTGGAGCTGGTGGTAACTGTTTAATCTATTCTGCCTGGGAAACTTCCTTAAGAAGTAAGTATCTCTACTCACTGTCTTGGCAAGATTAGTAATGTTTGGTAACATTTGCAATGTTTGGTAAGTTATTACTTTTTATTTACCTGAATAGACTAAAACTGGGCAAATTTAGTCTGGATTACACATAATAATATTTGAAATAATTACACAAAAGAAATCATTCTACCAAAGAACTGATGGCTTTGGAGATTAGAAAGACCTTGGAGGTAGTTTAGAATTCTGACACAACAACCCTGCCTGGTGGCTTTGTTTAAGGATCTCTCGTCTCTGGAAATTAATTACCTCTGATGATTCCACATGTTTGGTGGGGGATCGCTTGAATACCATGCTGAAGGCATTAACATGATTATGGCACTGTAAAGCCCTATAAATAAACAAATAAAAACTAGTGTTGCTTTGAGAAGTTGGAGAGGAACTGTTGAGTAAATGTTGGTAGTCATATTGCTATAATCCCATGGAAGGCAAAATGGTTAGAATCAGAAGTCTCAGCTGAAAGGTGAGTGTGTATATGAGCTACAATGTTTCTCTCTTCCCTTCCCTCCTCTCTCTCTCTCTCTCCCCTTGTAAATATTATTGCAGTAGGTAATTTGAGTTTCTTGATGCCAGTGGGTAATTAACATGGGCTGTCTCAGCAAATCCAGAAATAAAACCAGGCTGTTTCTGTCCACAACTTTTCTGCGGTGTTCCACTGGAGTGGGGGAGGAAATAGACAAAGTATATCCCAGCAGCTGTTGCAGAAGCTGCCCACTATGGGTAACTAGTTATCACAGGGTTCATGGGCGGGGGAAGAAATTATAATCAGACCAGGTTTGCAGGTAAAACCACTTGTTCCCTCCAAGTATAGCTGCCTACGTTTCCCAAACTCTCTGCAAAGGAGGAAGAACAGAGCTTCCCAAATTTCTCAGCGGGCCCTCGCGTCTTCTCATCTATCACTGGGGTAATGCGTCCAGAGTGGCATTTCGTAACGACAGCAACATTCCAACAAATCGATAGTTATTTAATTCCCAACAAGCTCCTGAGTCCATTAAACCTGATTACATTCACCCATTTCAGTAGGTGCTGCTATTTTTCCTACACGGGCACTTAATCTATAACAGGAACTTATGAGAACTTTCAAAAGCAATTTCAGCATCAATCAGCATAGTGTGAAGGGCACGATTTACTTGTAATTATTTATGGGACAGGGTGGCCAAGGGTCTAACAAAACTCCCATGACCGACCTTCACCCCAAGTTTTCAACAGAAGCAGAAGGACAGCTTCCTTGCTTTTTGCCACTGAATCCCACTCAAGTGACAGCAGGCCACAAGGGTCTGCTTAGGCCTACAAGGATAGAATAACTTTCATGTTGTCAAGGGCCATTCTCCTGGAGACCCATTTGTTTCTAACATAGAGAAACCTCTCAAAATAGGGCAAAGGTCATCCATCCAGTCTGATGGGATGCCCTATCATAATTCAGAATCACCCAGATTATCTTTAAGCACCCCCATTCTTATAGTTAACAGGAGGTAAAAAGCAATATTCTGAAAAGGAGATAAAAGGTGTTTTCCTAGTAGTCTCTCCTGAAATGTTCAGTAAAGATGCAGGGGTGGGCAACACCTGGCCCTCAGGGCATGTTGTTGTTGTTGTTAAGTGCCGTCGAGTTGGTTCCGACCCATAGCGACCCTGTACAGGGTTTCCGAGGGTGTAAATCTTTACGGGAGTAGAAAGCCTCATCTTTCTCCCGCGGAGTGGCTGGTAGTTTCGAACCGCTGACCTTAAGGTTCGCAGGCCGATTCGTAACCAAGGCAGCTACCTACAGTTCCAGCCATCACATTAAAGGTGAGTGAATTTAATGTTTGACCAAATATAACAGGCTAATTTTTAAAATGATAATTTTGTATGGTCCACAAATAATGGTATAAATTTTGGCAGAAAAAAGGTTCCCCACCCCCGAGCTAAAGTATCACAGACTTTTTACAATGTGGGGGTGGGGGGTGTAGACTGGGAAGGACCTCTTCAATGTACTTAGTTTTCCTTTCCTATCGAAAAGGGATCCAAATTTATTATTAAGGGAAGGATAACAAAAACATATAACAAGCAAGTAAACCATCACCACCAAAAAAACCCACCTCAGTTTCTTATGGTTATCACGATGGATATTAACTTTCCAGAAAGTTCTTTACACATTTACACACAAATCAGGGCTTGCTGACAAACAACAAACTCATGGAGTGGGACACCAGATTTCTTAAACTCTACCTGACCCTCTCTGTACGGAATTAACAGGCCTTAAAAGTAAAACCCATACATGTCGCTATCCTCTACTCTCTTGCCATCATTAAGATATAAACAACTGGTCCAGGATTTCTAAAATAATCTCCAGAATTCATACATTAACCATCAGTAAGTAGAGTCTTTATCTCAATGATACTGCAGAGGAGAAGAGGAAGGCGAGAGAGAGGAGTAAAAAACAAAACAACAACAACAACAAAAAAACTCTTCTATAAAAACAGAAAATACGTGTGAAGGGGAAAAGAAGAATTAATGCATATTTCTGCTCCTCCTGTTTCCTGGTTGTAAACTCTTAACCAAGTCACTTCATGATAAGTTACTTTGCCTCATGATCTGCTCGGGGAGAGTTGAGTCCCTCAGAAATCAGAGAAATCGTGCAAATCCTTTGCCCCGTGGTCAACCTCCTGAAGCAAAGGCAGGAATGTTAAAGAGCAAGCAGATCAATACAAGCAAATATAGCTCAACTACACCATTTATTCAGCCATGAGAGATGTCAATACCCAGATTAAGGTGATTCATCTTTCTGATTTCCTACTGTATTCCCACTGACTACAAGAGGGCTTTTTCCTGTATTAAAAGTGTTTGCTTTCTCAACCATAAAAATTCCAATTATTACTTTGAGCGCTCTGGAGTTAAGTTGCTCATCGGCTGAGACCTTGAATTACCTGAATCAGTCCAGGGAAGTAGGGAGCTGCTGGAAGGATCATAGGCACGCCGTAAGGATGCAGGAGAACGCCTTGAGGTGACAACATGCTTTTAGAGAAGGTGGTATTTCCTCCGAAGCTCAACACATCAATTGAGAGTTAGGGGGAAATCTATAAACCCAAGTTCTTCCGAACTACAAAGCAGACAGCCAAATAGTCTCTGTCAGGATCCAGGCGTTCATCAACGCAGAGACGGGGACGAAAAGAAAATCCGCATCAGCAACTCTTAATGTGAAAAGTTTTCTTCCTAGACGCCAAAGAGACAGAGCAGCTGCAAAGTTGAAGCTACAAAAATGGAAGGTACTATTTCGGGAACAGCTTGCCTAACATGACTAACCAGAAACTCTTCATTAATTTAGTTCTCGGCGAAAGGGAGTGAGAAGAGACCAAGAAAGAGGTGCAGAGGGACACACAGAATGCGGTTATGAAACTGTGGAGAAGAGTGGGGCATCTTCCAAAGGAATTGTGCCAAAAGACCCAAAGGACAGGTCTACATGGAATGCTTAGAGAGAAAACAGAAATGGAGACATTCAAGTATAATTATCAGTTTCCACTTAAAACTGAAATTGGGTATCTGAACAAGGGAAATCTTGGGTCCTGACTCAAAACCAAACAAAAACTGAGAAGATGCTCAGTTAAGTTTGATAGTCTCCCCCTCATTTTCATCTTAAAGAGGCAATTTGCATATATATATAATAGTAATAATACAATCAGCTAATATTTGCAAAGTGCTTTTTATGCATGGAGGCTGAGTTAAATTATTTACATGTGCTAGGTAATTTCATTCTCACAGCAATGCTACGAAGAAGGCATTATTAGTCTCATGTGATCAGTAAGTAGCTAATGGGGGTCACATGAGCTGAGCAGTTGTCTTATGGCCATATACAGTTATAACAGGCAGATCTGGGCCACAAACCCAGTCCTGAGTCTGGTTGCTCAGCAAGGCACTATAATTCATTATAGCATTGCTTTCTGGAATAGAATTCCCTAGGTCTTTTCTTGTGTATTTTTAAATATATGTATTCTTGCACGACCCTATCCAGAGAAGCAGCGACACCAGATATGGAGGTAGAGATGAGGACATGGAGAGAGGGAGTAGCTGAGGACTCTGGACTCATGGAAAGAGAGGGACTGAAAGCTGGCAGCCAGGAGGCAGGCTTGCAGAATGTGCCCTTTGGTGGTTTAAAGTATTATATATTCCTGAGATTTATGAGCTAGAATTAGACTGGCCTGCGTGTTCCAATTCCTTGCTGTGTGACTTTGAAGAAATGGCTGAACCTCTCTGAACATATTTTCTCCTTTGGAAAAAACTGAGATTGCAGTCTCTTCCTGAGAAGGCACAGGGATAATGAAATAAACTCGCTGGGCATAGCGCTTGGACAACATGCCCTATGGAGAGAGCTCAGGCTTTCTCTCAGATGTCCTGATTCTCCTGAATGTTGGTACAGACACACCTTTGGTTTCAGACTGAAGGCATAACTGGCCGCTGTTGGGTTGATTCTGACTCAAAGCAACCTTAAAGGCAGAGTAGAACCACATCATGAAGTTTCAGGCTGTAAATCTTTATGAAAATATACAGCACCATGTTTGCACTGAGCTGGTGGTTCGAATCAGCACCCTTTTAGTTAGCTTTAACTACAGTGCCTCCAGGACACCCTACTGAAGGCATAGCTAGCCTTCATATCCACACGTCTCCAACCTTCATGCAAAGAAAGTATGGGGGCGTGTTTAGGGTTCTGCAATTTCGGGAGCAACCATGTGAAAATCTCATGAAGGGAGTCTACTGAACTAAGGCGCAAGACCAGGAGTAATTGAAAATCACCTTCAAACCAAACCTCTGCTCTACTACATTCCACCTCTCACTGTAAATAGGGCACTTGTGAGGGACTTCGTCAAAACGGGGAGTGCCTCCAACCCTGCAGAACTCAGTCAGCTCTCGGATTGTTCTAAATCCAAATGTCAGTGCCTCCACTTTTAGATAGCCAAGGTGTTTTTACACTACACTAATTTTAGTTGCTTGATTTAGCTGCATAATTACATTTCTAGATAACGACATTGGACAGCGTTTGGCAGAGAATTCAATTATTTAAGGCTGCGTTTTGGCCATCTTGACAAGGTTTGTCTGTAATTGATTCTCACGCATTAAAGTGGCCAAGTTGTACAATTCAGAAAGCTCATGTAACAGCTGCAAGCTGACCCCTCTTACTCCAAGGCCCCGTACTGGTTCTAACTTTAGCTTTTGCCTATGACTCTCAAGGCCGCATTTTGGAGGAATTAGAAGTGAAGAGAGAGTCATGAGAATGGTGAGATGTGTTTTCCTAGTCACTGCTTAAAATCAGGGTGGAGAGAGCTGTTCAGTACTTGGGTAGGGCTGAATGCTGCCTCTTTAGTGTAGTAGAGCAGCAAAAGTCCTGGGCCATGAGGCAGGGAACTAAATTCCCGCACTTAGGCACATGGAGTCTGTTGTTGGCTTTTTCTGGACACAGAATAGATGTAACAATATCTACTTAGACTCTTTACCAGGAGAAGGCCAAGGAACAAATAGTAGGAGTGTTTGGGAAACTGTAACATTGTAGACAAACAGTGTACCATTGCACCTATTAACATAGACAGTATTTCTTCTTACAGAATTTGGTGATTCTGGTTGGAGAGAAATGAGATGATCTATTACGTAAAGGGCAAAGAGATAATGTAGTTGCAGCATTTGGAGAGGGAATCTTTATTTTTCACTTCTTTTGATTCCCTCCTTCCGTCTTTTATATGCCTGTCTCCTTCTGCCCTCCCTTCCATCTTTTCCTCCCTGAAACAAAAGCTTTTTCTGCTCCTGAGTCGTGGATATTCCTTTCTGTCTCTGAAATTAAAACTAATTGTTTTGTGGCTCTTTTCACCCTGACTGCCAGGAAGTTCAGAGCCAAACATGAGTTCCCAGTCTGTCCTTTACAGTTTAAACAAGGAGCACTGGTAGTGTAGTGGGTTACAGGCTGGGATTGGTAACCACCCCATTAATAGTCTCATCTACAAGTCACTCTGCAGGAGAAAGATGAGTCTTTCTGCTCCTATAAAGATTTACAGTCTCAGAAACCCTATACAGGGTCACTAGGATTCAGAACTGACTCAGGAACACACAACCACCACCACCAACGCCACCTCTTACACATCTGTGTGTTTCCTTTCTGTATTCTCCATTTCCACTCGTAACTACAGAGCTCATATCTTCTCTGATTTCACATTGACATGTCCTCACTGAAGTCCTACTGAATGCATCCTTTGAATGTTTTAAACCCACCTCAAATACTTTATGAAATAATAAAAGATACAAAGAAGAAGCAAAAGTCACTAAATACAACCTCTCGCTCCCAACAAAGATTATTTTAGTCTGTGTCTCTCTGCTCCCTTTTGGATAGTGCTGTGGCCCACGTGACTCACTTCATGACATCTAGAGTGTAGATTTAAGTACATGATACACTGCCAACAGGGGTGGGTCAAGGGTAGAATCCTCTCCTTCCAGGTGGGAGACCTGGTTCCATTCCCAGCCAGGAAACCACATGTAAAGTCACCTCCCCTCTGATGGCGGGGAGTTGTATGTTTCTATGATGCTGAACAGGTTTCAGAGATGCTTCCAGAATAAGAGCGTGTAGGAGGAAAGGCCGGGTGGTCTACTTTTGAAAATAAGCCAGGTCAAGTTCAACGGATCACATGGGTTACATCTACAGGCAGTCATGGGGATGATTCAGGCACAAGGAGTGTTTAGTTCTACTGTGCATGGGGTTTCTGTGAGTTGGTAGCTGATTCAGTAGAAGCTAGCAATTTGAATATTGCAGGCACTGAAATAGTTTGGAGTAAAATAACAAAGTAAAAGTAGGTACTTCAGAGACTGTCTAGAAAACACAGACTTTTGTAATGGGCTGAATTCAAAAGACAGTCCCTGTAACATAAGGACATCTGAGCTAAGGTGGTGTTGTTGTTGTTGTCAGGTGCCATCCAGTCAGAACTGACTCATAGCAACCCCATGCACAGCAAAACGAAACAATGTCCGATCCTAGGCCAACCTCACTACCGCTGCCACACCTGAGTCCATCGATGCTGCCACTTGGCCATCCCATTTCATTAGGGGTCTTCCTCTTTTTCTCTGACCCTCCATCTTACCCAGCACGATATCCTTCTCCAGCGACTGTTCCCTCCCGACAATATGTCCAAAGTATGAGAGACGAAGTTTAGCCATCTTGGCCTCGAAGGAGCACTCTGGTTGTACTTCTTCTAAAATGGATCTATTGGTTCTTTTAGCAGTCCATGGCACTTTTAGTATTCTCCTCCAACACCATAATTCAAAGGCATCAATTCTTCTACGATCTTCCTTATTCACTGTCCAGCTTTTGCATCCATATGAGGTTAGTGAAAATACCATGGCTTGAGTCAGGTGCACCTTAGCTAAGGTAGAGATGGGTAAATGGTTTTCGGTACATAAGTACATACGTACATACGTGCATACGTACATACGTGCATAAGTAATGTTCTGCACCATTGTGGGTCTTCTGGTCTCTGTTGTCAGGACTTCATGATAGCATGAAATCAGTCAAAGATAAGACATTAATAAATGGGCATGGCTACAATACAATGAAAGTCATTTATGGACACTAGATTTTGAAATCCTGATCAGTTTCATGTTTTATAAAAGATTATTTTTCCCCCCCAACTACTGAAAATGTAAAATCCATTCTTAGCCCAAGGGTAGTATAAAAACAGGCAGTAGACTACATTTGGCCCAAAAGCTGTAGTTTTCTGGCTTCTGATCTTGAGTATGTGTTTCATCTAAAATTCTTGAAGTCAAACTTCAATACAGTGGCATATTCCATTATGTTCTCTGTTGATTTCTTATCTACTTCTTCACTTTCTTGTTACCTTCTTGGTGGTATTTGCTATGTTCCCCTTCTCTGGGTTAGGGATTTTCATCAAGATATTATTCTTATCCAGACTTTATGGAGTCATTGAGGCTGGATGAAATGGTTACCGTGAAATACTTTGTACACATTAAACCAAAAGGATCCCCTGAAGTTTTCTCTTTAAACCAAGCAATGAGATACCTCATTTAGTAAAGTATGTTTGCCTTGAACACTGTGTTCTTTTGCAGAACTATCTATATGAGATCAAATTGCTGAGGGGACAGTGAGTTCATGTTAATAAGGAAGGAACAGGTCAGAAAAGCAGGGTGAGAATCATTGCACAACCTGAAGAACATGTCAATGTCACTGAAATGCACATGAAGATTCTGTCATACTAGTGTCTGTTCTGCTGTGTATACTTT